ATAGAAAACAAGTTCATTATATGAGCATATAACATCTTTATCACTGTCATTTTCTCTTCGAAATAAAGTCTGCGTCAACTAAATCAATAACTGAGCACATACTTATGTTGGTAAATTAACAAAAAATAACAGTCTCATCTAATTTTTCACTTAAATAACTTGATTAGAATAAATAATTTCCAATTGGTCTCATGAAGCAGAAAGTGTTTCTAAATAATATGTAAATCATTTCCGTGTTTATAACCATTTTTGCTAATGTAAAAATGATACGGACTACTCACTTCAAAAAACAGCACTACAAATACTTTGTCAGGTACTGTAACAATACCTTGAAGATAAAGCTTTTTGTGTTAAATACAGTATAGTTGTATCCAGATTGAAAAACTTAAGGCACATTTTCTTTTAACCACCTGTTCTGCAGTATTGTTACAGTCGTGCTCTTCTGGATGTCCCAGGACAGCTCCTCTATTTCCATGGTTTTGTACATAAACAATAAAAGACCATGAGATGCAAGAAAAACACAGAGAAATACGAAAAAGACACAATACAACACACCGATAGAATGTACACTACAACAGCAACGATCAAATCTTCCAACCTGCCTGAAGAAGAGCATTAGGAATGGCAAAGCATCCTTTGTTTTGCACTCTAAATACCTGACTGACTTAGGCAGGTGTTAATCACTGGCTTGCCAAAACACCTGAACAAAAATGAAGACTGACTTTTCTGATATCTGTCGTATTAAAACAAAGCTGCCAAGTAATTGTTACTGGAAAAAAAAAGAGACACAAATAAAAGGTGACTACAAAAAACATCAGCTAAAACATCTGAGGAAGATAATAATAGTTAAGGAACATATGAAACCAAATGGCAACAGTTCCAGGCATTTATTCCAGTATCTTAAAAAATAAAAATTACTTAAAAACTTATTCATCACCAGTGTTAGATAGAAAAACAAAATTTTAGATTGAGCCAAAGAAGATGTGAAATGTTTCCTTTTTCTCTTTTTCTCTCCATTTTAAGGCTCTTTTATTCACAGTACAAATACACCTTGCCGGTACAGTTTTAATCACAAAATGCACAGGTTCTGAGGAGGAGTGCTGGTTTCTTCTCGCTGTAAAGCTGCTCTTTCCTACAAAAACCCCAACTCTTCCCTCCCCAACAACTTCTCAGTGCCTCATTAAATTGCAGAATAGATCCACGACTGGGTGCTTTATATGATCAGTTGAGAGCACGCATTCCCCCCCAAACACTCAGCCCAAAAAAAGTGATGATTAGTTGAAATTCACCTCATGACAAATAGAAACACATTTTCTACATGTTGGCTTTTTTTTTTTCTTTTCAGATTTTACACATTAATCCAAAATTCAGTAAATGAACTGATGTTCAGCATAAAAGATGCTTTAACCAAAAAAGAATACATTAAAAGTAAGTATTTTTCCCAATAATAAATTAGCTGTTTTGCCTTAGTTCTATGTTTCGTTAAAGCATTTTATGCTCTTTCATATATTAGATTGCAAGTTTGGCAACTTTTTTTTTTTTTTTAATAAAAATTCAGACAGTCGTCTTTGTTTGCAATCAGAACCACAACCTTAGTGCAATATTATATTTATTTCTTACAGTAATTTTGGTTGCCATACAAGAGTATTAAGGATTGGGGAAAAGTGCAAGTTACAGGAGCTTGTTTTTTTTAATCAGTTGAAATAAGAGGAATTAAAGCACAAAAATTACAGCAACATAGATAACGTGAACACAAGTTGTTACACAAACTATAGCGAGAAACATATTAATATTTAGAAAAAAAAAGAAAAAATGTAATGGAAAAATTATCAATATTTGTGGCTCATACACATAATCATCGCCAGATCAACTGGGTAATGCTTTTTAAGAACTAAGAAGAAAATCACTATTTTTATTAACTTAAGTACCACAAATAATTAACTTTTGTGATATGTAAATTCTGTAAATCAACAGTCACATCTAGTCATTTTTTAATATATGAATCAAACTTAAAATGTTCTCAGACACCCAGGGAAAGGAGTCTGTGCAGTTATACACAATTTACATCTTGTAAGATTTTGGTATTGTATACACAAATATTACAGAAACTAGGCATGTAAATGCAATTTATTTAAATTACAGTATATAAACAAAAGTTGATCCTAAAACCCAGAATATCATTAACGTATTTCATAGATCTCTAACAACTTGTTTTTCACTATCATACTAGCATGAAATAATAAGGTCTTCTCTCCTCCCCCTCCCAACATTTCCAGACTGATGAAAATCCTCGGAGGCAAGGTTGTATCTGTTACTATTGCTTTCCGTAGCAAAATCAGCAAATGGAGCTAGAGACCAATTCATCTTGGCAGAGGTGTATTTTATTGGTAAAAGTAGGTCCTTTCAGGTCTCATTATATTTACCTTTTAAGACATAATGTAAAAATAAACTATTTCATTAGCTCTTTTATGTTTAAAATCTCTTTTCTACTAATTGTATAGTACCTATTCTTCAGTACCTGAAAAGATACATGAGCAAGAAACACACCTGTTCAAGAAAGAGATTTCCATCAACTGCAATTTACTGTGTATGTCAGCACTCGTTAAACTTAAATTCAACAACAAGGTTGTGATTAAAAAGCAGCTTAAAAGTCAACTTCTACATTCTCTTTTACTACCATGTTTTCTAAAGTATTTTCTGGCACATATTATAGAGGTAATATCAACTGTACCCAAAGTTACAAACCAACCAACCAAAAAAAAAAAAAAAAGAAAAAAAGAAAAGAAAAGAAGAAAAGAGCATGGCATTAGTGGTTTATTTACTGAATTCTGTTGTATCACCAAATGGAAGACAACGATGGCTAAAATACCATTTTTCACACTTCTTAAAGTATCTGATGGCCTCAAGTCGCCTGTATTGACTATCTGAATGAGACTGCCATTTTCTAAACACCTATGGAAAAACTCAGTACTCTTGAAAGTAGAATGCCTTAGTACTTGGGTTTTATTACAAGATTCCTTGGAACTTTCAAGTACAAATAGAGCGTAGTAACAGATGGTAAGTCAAAAGATTTGTTGTTCCATAAAGGGGGCAGGAGGCTAAATACATTGCTTTTTGTGAGTATCCAATGCGTTGGTAACTATAACCACTTTTGAAGAAATATTCATCCTCCTTTGTAGAAGTTCTAGCAAAGATAGAAAATATAACACAGCTCTGCTGGTTCAGATGCATCCAAACGAGGTGGATTTTTAAAAAGGTCAAGACTTTATAATTATTCCACAGAAATAGTATTAAACCACAAAAGTTTTTGTTGTTTTTAACTTTCTAGCACTGAAGTGGCACAAAGGCTGCCCAGTAGACCAGCCACTTATTTTCTTAAAATATTGTGCTTATAAACTATCTGTACAACTATTTAAACTTGCAGTAAAGAAAGATATTTAAAATGCTAAACTTTATGTACTCAGACTAGGGCTGTTGCAGACCTAATTAGACACTTGTTTGTGAGCAAAAATAATCACAATAAAAAAATTAGAGATAGGCTGGACCATATCAAGGACCATAGCAAGGAAAGAAAGTTCAGGTACCTTGCAAAGTGTAAGGGAACCTGAAGGTATGGTAGGTAGGCAGGCAGCCCGGCCATCCCGCACCACTCACCCACCTGCAACGCGTTGAAGAGCGTGTTCATAACGACCTACAAAACTTACGGATATCAAGAGGTGCTAATTACAAGGGGAGGTCGAACATGCAGAGAGAGACTTGTTAACTTAAAAAAAAAAAAAAAAAAAGGAGAAAAAAAAACAGAGTCAGATTAAGCAAATCCGTGCGTTGCCCCGCTGGCTTGTGGCCCCCCGCTGGCCCAGTGCGTCGGCCAGGTCCGCTCCGCGCCTCGCCGCCACCACGCCAAGAAATCGCGGGAGGCCGGGGCGGAGCTGCCAGCTCCCCGGCGAGGGCTCGGCCTGCCGGCCTTGTCAAGAAGCCAGGGCACCTTAAAAAGGACAAAATTGAGAAACTGGATACCTACCCGATTCCCCTGGCCCTCGGCACCCCTGCACTGCAAGACACTACAGACCTCTGTCCATCTCCGCATCCGCTGCTTCTACTTTCCTCTTTTTTTAACGAGCTAAAATGTTTTCCGTTTTTACTAACAGGCCACAACGCCTCTCTCACTGAAAATACTGGCAGCCTTCCCACTGACTTTAATGGGAATGCTCAGCTTGCTTTTTCTTTTCTCTTGACCTGGTGTTCAAAATGGCTAAGCACTTACAACTCACTGAATTAAACCGCACCTCTCGGGGCTCAGCATGTTTGAGTATCTGACTATGAAGTCTAAAAGATGCGCCTGTACATAAACCCAAATGGCTTCTGGCTTGTCGAGCTCACGTGACGCCTTAGCAGCAGTTCAGCTGGTTGAAAACTGGGGGTCTCAGGTTCAAGCTAGCTTCATTTTGTTGTACCTCTAAGGGAGCGTTCCTTCTCAGGGTGTATGCACCGTCTGCATCGTCTTACAGGCCAAGTCAATGGAGCGTGTGTTGAACTTGTTCTGCCACCTTGGAAGAGCACTAAATGTAACTGCAGAAATAAATAAATACCAAGTAAAACAGAGCAAGGTTACCTTTGAACTAGTTCCAGCAGAACAACCAGCTTCACTGCTAATAAATTGGCTAAACTAGTTAAAAACAATAATGTCAACTTTTGCACCTGCCTTAAAACTGTGCATCTAAAACTAGCAAAAATGGCTTAAAAAGGCAATGAACCATGTGTCTCTCCTCCTAAAATGAATTTAAGGTTTGGGAAGAAAACCTGCTAGGAGACTGAGTGAATGTCAAGGAGTGAATAGAGTGCTTTTAAATTAAAAAAGTGAAATGCTTTCAATAAAAAAGTGTGTAATGGTTCCAGCAGAATGACATTATCAATAGATGGTAAAATTTTTGAAGTTAACAATTTTCTCTCTCTTTCTCATATCTCCCCACGAGTGTGAAATAGAATAGCCCGGCTCACGTAACATGTTTAGTTTCTGTTTGGGCATGACGCACACAGGCTGCGTTACCTGAGTACCAGGAATGCAACATTCCCCCCCCCTCCCGCCCCCAGTTTGGCTGGCACTCGCAGACAGACAAGGCAATTGGGGTAGTTCAGTACCAGCCCATCTCTAGTTATCAACAGAAGTTTATGAGGCAAAGTAGCTATTCTTATCTGTCCAGCAGCTGTTTCAGAGCTCTTTCTATGTTCATTCTGTGCCCAACTCTAGTCACTCCAAGGTCTATCAGATCTTCCTTTTGTAGATTTGGTAAATGAGTGCCATCTATTTCATTGTCCATAAACGTTTCTTTATGTTCACCTAAATTTAGACTTTCCAACCAATCTGCCACATCTGGTTTAGTCCACAGGTGGACAGGCTTAGTTGTAAAAGGCTTATTTGAGATTGGCTGTTGTAATATTGAGGGAGAAGGAGACCTGCTGCGCCCTGTGGTCAAGCCAAATAAGTCCCCAGAGGGGGGCTGGCTCGGTAGGCTAAATACATCAGACAGAGTTGGAGAAGGAGATGAGGCTGAAGCAGAAGCAGTGAGAGGAGCAGGCAGGATGTCTTTATTAATCTCTGTAGGCGAAACCACAGGGCTGGGAGCGTGCCTTGCTCCTGAGGTCCTACTGTCATAGTCTGGGGACCTGCTCTGCAGAGTGATCGGCTGGCTGGCTCCAGGGCGGACAGTGAACGTGATTGTTGTACTTCGGGTACCTGAGACAGTGCTCATGACTTCTGTGCTCCTGCAAGCGCAAACAGACGAGAGCGGTTAGAGACATCCGCACACCCCTGAATGGTCGTCCTGGCTAATGCGGGGCAAACAGGGTCAGGGGGTGACACTTTCGTTGTTTTCTCCCCCCCCCCCATATGAGCATGGTTCAGGTTAGAACTACTCAGGTGTCATCAAATCTCTCTCATGAAACAATCATCAATGGTAAGCCATGGTTAAAAACAAAACCTTTGCTTATGAGCAGGACACCTTCCAGAGCACCCTCTTCCCTCGGCAGGCCACAATAAACGAGCTCCCAGCTATGTGAGGACAGCAGTGTATAAAAAGCATGGAGGGCCTCTGCGTTGCCAGGGAAGCACCAACAGGAGCTGATCTCCCTGTCGCTGAGAGGAGGGGTGGGATCCTTCCTTTCAGCCTTGGCCTATTCGTTCTACACGCTGCAAGATAATGTCACTAATAATACTCTAGTTACGGAAAACATTTGAAGCATGTTATTAACTTGGATTTCGGATACATAGGCATCCACTTCTTTGTGCATTTTAGGGTATATTTGAATGCCTGTTCATTCACAGAATATGCTCCAGAGCTCCTCCTATTTCCTTTTCTGTTCAGCAAGCCTGCTCATGCTTTAAAAATGAAACACTCCTCCTGACCAGGGTTTATAAAAGGCCTCTTGTGTGTCATTTACACAGAAATTATACTTTGCTAGTTTCACTACAAAAGTTAGGAGACAAAATTTTTGTTACTGCGCATGCCCAGAAGTGCTGTAGTTGTCATGAAGCCACTGGCATCTCTCTTGCCTAAAGGAAACAGAGTAATGGTTAAAACTTTAATTAGAAAGAGGGTGCTACCCCCTTCCTCATCAGCTAGCCTAACTTGCTGCCCATAATTATCCATTGCCAAAAGAAAAAATGAAGGCAGCCAGCCTCAGGCGATGCTCATGAGCTCTGAACCCCACCCCCCTCCCTCTCAAAGCAACTTTCTTGAAGCTACAGCTACTCTCCAAAGCCCGGGCACTGTGGAACTGGAGGCCTCCCTCAGCGTGTCCTTGGTTTGCTGCTGGCTCTCGTGAATCCTATTCCCACCTGCTCCATGCACCATGCCTGCGGCTTCGGCACATAATTATGGGTGGAGAAATCAAGAAGCTACAAGTCTAGGCATCAGCAAACCTGGGGCACTACTACACTGAGATTCAGAGCACGCTCCCACCATACTGAGCATTTTTCAAGAAAACTCCTGTACTCTGTCATTAGAAAAGCACCGAGAATAACTCTCTGGAGAATATACATGCTAGTTATTCACACAAACAGCCCTACTGACTTCCCACAAATTGTTCCATATATTACAGTGGGAACAAGGGGGATCCTTCTGAGGGTTGAAATACCAGCACTTCACTTAAAACGCAGTAGGAGCAATACTTTTAGCACTTACGACCTTGTAATTCTATAAAGAAAGGAAACACTTGGCAAGGTTTTGAGAGCTTCCTGTGATTTGTTTGGAGCTTAATGGCTCCCATTGTCTTCCAGGAGGGGAATAAAACATTTTTAAAAATAAGTCTGTGGCAAGGAACTATTAAATTCTACTAATCATGGGGAGCAAATTATTTCTACCTACTTTAACTTAGCCTTAGGAATCTCACATATCTTAATAAGGCATGATATCATTTTAAATCCACACAAAAAAAAAGAAGAAAAAATGCTTTGAAAGAGGTTGGAATAATGCTCTCAGTGATTGCAAGAAGGGCAGGAAGATTCCTGTATAAATGTGGGTCTCTTCTTATTTTCTTATTTGCAGTGAACCTTTTAGTTTCCTTTCCTGTATTGTAAGTATCAGCAATTACAGCTTTGTACTCCTATCAGCCTATCCTATGAAGGTGGCAATATCACACCTCTGGTGGCAATATACACCTCTGTACTGGATGCTGGCAGATCACTTCTGTACTTGACTGACAACTCTGGGTTCATGCTTCAGCTTAGTAACTTTTGCGCTTCTTCTGTGTATAGCTCCTCTTGCAGACTCCCTGTTCCTGCTTTCCCAGGAAACCGCTGTCCCTCCCGGTTCCTTTGAACCAGCTCTATGGAGCCGCTAACACCACATGCCCCATAGTGAGCTGCATGCTGTGTATACCTCAGCCCTGCTCACCCAACCACCCAGGCCCACAGGCAGTAGCTCTGGGGGACAACGTTGCACTTTGCCTGCCAGCCTGGATCACACCAATAACTTCTTGTGGCTACAAGCAGCAAGGAATGATCTGTGGGCATCTGGCTTGCTTCAAGCCATGGGTGTAGGACCATGCACTGTAGAAAAACAGAACTCCAAAATTAGGATAAGAAAAATATTTGTTTTAACTGATGAGCAAGGTTGCAAAGCCAGCTCTGTTTACAGACATATCAGTACTCAAGCTACTATAAATATTAGCCTTTTTATGGTGCTCTCATTTCAGTAAGCTCAGAGCATTTAACTATCAGTAACAGCCGCAATCCTGCAGCAGCCCACCTCTGAGGAGGCCCTTACTGTGCCTGCACACGTGGAAACGCGCACACGGCCAGAGCGCGGCGGTGTCCCCACCGGCTGCCACAGCAGGGCGGGTTAGACCTGGCCTGAGGTAACGCGCTGGCAGGGGAGGCCGCAGTGTGACCTGCCCCACTGCCCTGCTCTGGGGGGGGGAAGGGAGCGGAGCCCCGCGGCGCCGGGCCGCGCCTCAGCCGGCACCCGCGACGCAGCCCTCCTGTGGGACACAGGCGGCTGCCAACAGCAGCACTGCCAGATCCCCAGCCCAAAGCCCACGGATAATTTATCCTTCTTTTCTTTTGTTTCACTTGCCATATCAACTCCCGTGTTACATCGCCTTCGTAATTTACGAAAAAATAGACACCTTTGTGTAACTCCTATCCGTCCTAATTATAGTTTGCGATATCTACAATGCAATCTGTGATGCAGATACATCCTTGACACTGAGAGCTCTCTAGGATTTCACAGCTGATCAGCATCCTGTTCAACAAGAGGAAGTACCTGCCAGCTGGAGAGTAGACGCGTTCCTGTTATGCTGTGGGCTTTTCAAAATTTTAATAAGAGCAATTTCTTATGCCTTGATCGTCTGTTAAACTCAACATATTAAATCCAAGTTAAACCTCCCTAAACCTAAATTTCCTTTTTAACTGTATAATTAAAAAGGTAAAGAGTACGATAATAATTTTAAATATAATTTGTCTTACTAGAATGAGCATATGTTCGTAATTTATAAACAGCCACTGCTATAAGGCAGGACTGATTACAATGTCTATTATGTTGTCTCATATTAAAATCGCCAGATGTAATTCCTATGTCACAACAATGCCCTCTCCAACATTTATATTTTAAATTAGATTTGCAGGATCAAAATTTCCTGTTAACTTCATATCCCAAGCAGCTCAGTGAAAAAAGGCTTGCTGCAACTGCAGGATCTCCTATGAGCCTCCCGGGTAAAGCTCACAAAACATTTTACTCTTCTCATGAGAGCTGTTCTGTCCTGTCATTTGCCAAGTCTTGCTGTCTCTGGCAAAGCTCTTCTGCTGTTTCAGAGGAAAAAGAAAATAACAGAAAAGACAACCAATGAAATATGCACAGAGCTATGGTGCGATATTAGTTTTTTATAGTTTTCTGGGAACATACAGAACCAAAATTTTGTCTTTATTACCAATTTGTGCTACGTTTTTGGGTTGTCAAAAAAAATTTTACAGGACGTAAAGGAGGCAGACTGCAAATTGCCTGCTTTTGGGGGGGAAGAGCGAACACAAGAGCTGATATGATATCTGGCAGGATACAGCACTTCTTGTAATGGAGATACTTTAGCATGAGGAGTTGAGAAATGGTTAGTGCTGGTTGAAAGAAACACTGTTGTCAGCTGGAGCAAAGAGACAGGACGGTGAAAACACCAGGGCAGGCTGGAAGCAGAAAAGGAAAACCTCACTGCCTAGAACGGGGAGGGATTTGATGGCTACGATGACAGTGGGGCCTGATTATCTCGGGGGCTGGTTTGCCTTTGCTTTTAGCTTCACACATAAAACTGCACATTGTACCCCCTTCCAGAAGCCCTGCAGAATTCGGACTCGCTTGAAAAACTAAGCTCCTTCCTTAGGTGCCCACGTTATAAAAGTATTTGCTGAATAGTTCTCTGGTAAAAGTGGCTTTCATTTCAACATGCTATTTCTGTTTTTAGAATGGCTACCATTTCTGGATTAGGGCGAACTAATCCGCATAGCACTTGGTAACGAAGTCAGCACGGAAACCATTGAAATGCAATAACAATGAGTGAGCATTAAAGAAAGCAGCATGTACAACATAGAATAATCTATGCTTTATGGTTGTCACTTACTTCGTGGCACTTCAGCATGAACCTCTTCTGACAACAGCAGTCATGAGAGCAAATAAAAATGACAAAATGGAATGACTGAAACGCGGCAGAAATTACGTAGGAAGCAAGCAAACCTGTGAAATTGGCTGGCAAACAGTTAGCGAAATGAAATGAATCTAATGGGCACAGCAGGCAACTGGAAAACCAAATCCCAGAGGAGAGGTGTTGTGCACACTGTGACAGGGTGCAGGGTTTCCTTACAAACCAACCGGACGTCGCCACGCAGCACTCACTGCTACGTTCGGGTCAGCTTTACCTGCTTGTGGCTGGGCGTCGTGCACACCTCCTGATACACACAGCAATTTCTAGCACCATTTGTAACAGGTGTTTGCCCCCATGCCCAGCAGCCACGAAGGACGCTTGAGCATCCCGCAAGCATGTGTGGAGTTGCATGAGCTCCGTGTACTGTGCTCGCTCCCGCGAGTGCACACTGCTCGTCGCCTGCCGCCATACATGGCTCTGTGCCCTCCCCGCGCTCACGCTACCCGCTGCTCATCGCCCGCGGCCCCACATGCTCCCCATGCTCACGCCACGCGCTGCTCATCGCCCACGGCCCCACTTGCTCCCCGTGTGTTCCCCACGCTCACGCTACCCCCTGCTCATCGCCCGCGGCCCCTCATGGTCCCCACACTCACGCCACGCGCTGCTCATCGCCTGCGGCCCCACATGGTCCCCACGTTCATGCTACCCACTGCTCATTGCCCATGGCCCCGCGCACTCCCCACACTCACGCTACCCACTGCTCATTGCCCACGGCCCCACATGCTCCCCATGCTCACGCCACACGCTGCTCATCGCCCGCGGCCCCACGGTCTCCCTGTGCTCATGCCACACGCTGCTCATTGCCCGTGGCCCCGCGCTCTTGCTACGCGCTGCTCATCACCTGTGGCCCCACATGCTCCCCGCGGTCACGCTGCAGCTGCTCATCGCTGACGGCCCCATGTTCTCCCTGCACTCACGCCACGCGCTGCTCATCGCCCGTGGACCCACTCGCTCCCTGCGCTCACACCACATGCTGCTCATCGCCCGTGGACCCACATGCTCCCCACGCTCATGCTACCCACCACTCATTGCCCATTGCCCCGCACGCTGCTCACGCTACCCACTGCTCATTGCCCATGGCCCCACATGCTCCCCGCGCTCATGCTACATGCTGCTCATTGCCCGTGGTCCTGCACGCTCCCCACGCTCATGCCATGCACTGCTCATCCCCCGTGACCTTGCACACTCCCCACGCTCATGCCACGCACTGCGCATCGCCCGTGGCCCCACGCTCTCCCTGTGCTCACGTCACGTGCTGCTCATCGCCCACAGCCCCGCACATTCCCCGCGCGCTCCCCGCGCTGCTCATCACCCGCGGCTTATGCCACCCGCACGCCCTCCAGCTCGCGCTCGCCACGCCGTCGCCAAGCAACTCTGCGGCAGAGCATCCCAGAGCCTCCTCCTGCTTCCTTCCGCAGCGCCACGGGAAAGCCAGGGGCTTTGGAAGCTAATTTATAGCACTGCTATATTTACACTCGTAATGGTCGATACTGTCATTACACTTGCCATGCCGTCCGCCCTCCTCGCTGACAACAGGGAGCCACCATCCAAACAAGTGGTCTTCTGGGTTTTGTTTTTCCTGTGTTCCCCCCCATCCCCGCCTTTTAGCTCTGTACCGAGGCATACCCAAGTTCAGAAATGGAAATCATGAACAGAATTCTTTGGCAGAATTTCAGCTCTTGGGTCCATACACATACACCCAAGCACCTGGTACCTCTCCTGCAGGGAAGGCTGGGCAGACAGGACGAAGGGACGCAGTGGCACTTACCTACCGCGGACTCTGATTTAACACCCAGGTTAGATGGAGAAACTAGCTACAGATTCTGTAGTCACCATGGACCCCCAACATTTCTTAATTAAAGGGTGGCCAATATTAGAAGCGCAACTAATCTATAGCAATTAAAAGGCTGTGGTCTGCTACCTCGTGATCAAACCCTTTAATCTTGCTTTTTCTGTGTAAATTATGCAAGCACCTTCTCTCTTGCCTCTCCTCCCTTCTCCTTCAATCCTCCTCTCTCCATTCCGCCAACTGGTCACTGCTGTTGAGAAGCAGATGGTTTCTAGCCAAATGTTTCCATGCTCTGTTTGAAAAATCTTTAAATTCACTGTTTCCATAAGAACAACTTAAAATTAAAAATATATTGTATAGAATTCTTTCTAAAACAACATATGGAGAAAAAAAGCAGATCTAAGTCTTTTCTAACACAGTAATTGACAAAGAATGGCTGCTCGGTACTACAGAACAAGCTCTTCATAGCCCTCACTTATCAAAAACATACAAAAGAGGTATTTCATGGTTTTCTGTAGCGAGCCATTATGCAACTATCTACAGTTTAATTCACCTCGGGGCTACCTCACCAGGGCAACTGCTGTGGTTGAACTACAATTGTACGACTACTAGCTGTGCAAAAATATCTTTTAGAGATACTCAGAAAGGCTATCTGGGCTCTACCTTTCACAATGAACAAATATATGTTTTTAATTTTATCAGGCTGTTAACGCTGAATGTTGTGAACATAGCCCAAGCAAGTCTGTGAACAGCACTGCTATTTATAACACTTTCCATTACCTCGCTTTGGCTGAACGATGTGAACAGGCCTACTCATTTTTTATCCTCTTCCCTTTAGCAAAGCCAAGAAGTTGTTCTCTAATTCGGCAGAGACCTGCATCCTGCAAGCTCAACTGCTGGCCCTCTCTCAAATGCAGCCTCAAGGAAGAGGGGGCCACAAGTTCCTCGCTCTGTTGTCCTGGGCTTTAGTGTTAGAAACTTTCTCTAATATATATAGGAGGATTACTCTTGTTTCCATGATAGATTGCTTTTCTCCAAAAAAGGGATTTAACAGTTCTTCCATTTTTTTCCAGCCTTTATACCTGTTTTAAGTTTATTTTCACAAAAAAAAAGCATCTCCTTTTGCTTTTCCCCTCATATATGCAGCATTTTGACATATTTACAGTACCTTGTAGTTACTTGCCTCACAGTGATTTCCTAATAAAATAGGGATGAGAAGGATCTCTACTGCAACCTATAAATAATAGTCTAAGATAAAAATAATACACAATACTGTACATAAAACATCAGAGGTAACATTCATATGGCTGAATAAGAAGATGAAGATTAAGCAAAACTAACATTCTTAAAGACATAAGAAATAGTATGGAATGAAACTGTCAGGTTCATCTGCAAGACAAGTCATACATACAGTAAAGCTTAGTGCATGAGAATTGAGGATTTTACCACTGCCCAAGGTAAAGAAGTTCTCTCTCTACCTAACCCCGAAGCTTTAGATCACTCACTGTGTGTAATGAACCTCAATGAGCTACATCATTTGCAATTAACAGAGCCGCTATCTCCATAAAACCAAACTTTCTTCTAGAATGATTCTAAGATTTTTTTTTCTTTTATATTGCTGTATTTTAAAAAGTCAAAAAACAGTGCTATGTTTTGGCAAAAAGTGCATTTCTATGGAGCAGGCTACAGCAAACAATTCGTAATATTGCACCTAGACTCTAACTTAAGTTAAGACCCTAACTTTCTGCTATATGTAAGGCTAAATCATTCTATGCTGCAAAAAGAAATTCCTTAGAAATTCCTCATAAAATTCATAAAGCTAGCACTATTTTTTTAAATAAGTGCATATTTCAAGATCTTATATCCATATACACATCAATACGGCTACCCAATTACTTGTACGTTTACCTATTGGGGTCTGACTATTTCACTACTGTTAGTTACTTTGGTTTTTCCAAGTGGAGCTTTTCCTTTTCGAGTAAGAGCCCCTTTTTTTCACACAGGACCACACGGCTGCTGCTCTGCAGCTCAATGTGGCGGCTCTCTGTAATCCTCTCACTTTCTGCAAAAACCTTTTGGAAAGAAACAATGTAGTTTGGAAACTACAAGGATGCGTTGCACCAAATTACCAGCCATGGGAATGTTAGTGGAAATTAACCACAGCCTTCAGTCTATTAGTCTATTCACTAACTAAACACGTACAATACAAAACAAAACCTTAAAACCCATAGTACTAAGGGATAGAGATGATGCATTAATATTTCTGTAATAATACGAACAGTGCAATGTGATTTCTGCAAATGATTAGCTGCTGATCACAGATAAGTAGCTTTATAATTCATAAATCACCTCAGATTATCTGAGATAGCTCCATAAGTTAAATACTATTACGCACTGAATGTGAAGTGAGACTCAACAAAAATACTTTTTTTTTAACCTCTTTGTAGCCAAAATAACTTATGCAACTGAAGAAAATTTAAATGTCCACTGCATTTTAAAAGAAAAAATACTAGAGAAAAAAAAATCCCACTTAAACATGAATCTAAGAAATTCACATCAAAACAACCGAATACTTTGTGGAAATTGTCCTCAAAGTTGAAATCAAGACTGAGAGCTGTTGCCCAGAGAAGGGCAACCATTCTTGACTCAACTCCATTGAAAATAAAAGAAAGGAAAAAGGGTAGTACTGCAGACTACAGATATACTGCTGATGTAGGAAATTCTGCCCCTCTGTGAAACATTTTGTCACAGAGCATTCATTAAGCAAAGATATACAATAAAAGGTATGTTCTTCCTTCACCTATGAAATATTTACAGGGGAAATGAGGGGTCTAAATCAACTTTTTTATCGGTAAATGATGCTGCTAATCGCAGTTACCTTGTACTGAGACTTGCAGTCTTTGTTCCAGTGGGTGACTCCAATGCTTCCCCTGGCTTTGAGGATTTCTCTCTGTTCATCTGCTGCAGTATCGAGTTCAACTCACTAATAACATTAGCCTTTGGGCCTGAGAGAATCGGGCTTTTCACCTCCGTCACATCACCCCATAGCTTCGATGTCCTTTGGGGAACAACCTTAGCCATATTGGGCTGTGTGCTGATCGGAGGCGGGGGTGGAGCGGGAGGAGGAATAACAAAGCTGTCTACAGTTTCCTCAATTAGCGCATCCTTGTAAAGTGCATTGCTTTTGTTGATTATGGGCTTCATTTTTGGCTTAGGAGGTACTGGGGGTTTGTCCACCAGAAATGTTTGCCCATCTGCATAGACTGTGCAAGTATCCAAGTTCTCGCCACCTTCCGAGGACAAGGTAGAGATGCTGGACACCGTTGAGATAGTGCTGGTTGTCTCTAAGTGATGGTCACTACTACTCCGACTGTCCACCTCCTCAATCCCAGAGTCAGTGACGTTATCAAAGCTTTCGGGGGGTGGCAGGAAGGAAGCAGGCAAACAGTTTGAAATACCCACTTGCTTTTTACTGTCCAAGGAGTTGGGTGCCTGGCTGGGGGTAAATGGCGCGGGTGAGGGCGTTCCGTTCTTCCTTTGCTTCATCAGGTCTGTCAGAGCAGAACTGGCGGCCAAGCGGTCGTCGGGGATGTCAAAGCTGTTGGCGAACTCCAAGGGGGGTGGTAGTGGCTCAGTGAACATGAAATCCTCATCGATATCGACAGACGCTAAGGGCGGGGGAGGGATGCGGAAGGGCAAGATGACGGGGTCGTCGACGGAGCTCGCCGCCACGATGGTTTTGCAGGGGGATGCTGGTGGCTCTGGCGCAGAGGGCACGCTCAGCTCGCCCTCCGCATCCGCGCTCCCTTCTGGTCTCTCTGGCGGGGAGTTTTCAGGGCTCGGTTCCATTTCCACCTTCTTCTCCTCTTCATCTTCAGGTGTGTCGTCTGACTTTGCCGTGTCCACAGTATGGACCATTAACAAACCAGCCGACTTCTGCTGTGAAGTGTCCACTATGTTTATCAACATGTTCTTCTTCTCCTCCGCCTTTTTTTCTTTCCCCACCTCCGTCTCGTACTTGTTCTCTGTCTCCTGCCTTCTCAAGGGGCCGCGTGTGTTTTGCCTGGTGACAGTAGCAGTAACAGGGAATGTTGTTTCAATGTTGGGTCGCAGCTTCGTATCGATGTAAAGTGGTTTGTTAAGGTCTGCTTTGCCAGCTTCTCCCTTGCCTGGTATTTGCTGTGTTTGTTCTTTCATGGCTCGGTCCCTGGCAGAGAGGGCGAGGGCTAGCGGTGAGTTTGGGTCTAAGAGCTTTCCTGTGACCGGGTGGACGTAGTTATCCTGGCTGGAGGTGTTTGCGGGCTTAGCTGCCACCATACTGTTTTCAGTGCCTTTTGGTTTGGATGAAGCATTTAATGTCCTTGAATCACTTTGATTGATGGGTTCACTACTATTAAAAACACTTTCAGACTCTCTGGGTGCGGGGACTGGAGATGGTGACATAAGCTGTCGGAAACCATCTTCACTACTAAACATTCCTTCATCAGTAAACTTAGATTGCCTCATACGCGGTGTTGGGGGTGTTAGCCCAACATCCTCATCTCCTAAGTCCGTTGAGAGGAAGGCTGGGGAATTGCGCCTTGCTTCCAACCGCTTCTCCCGGTCCCTCACTGCTCCAGCAATGGCTGCTGCAAAGGGGCTGCTGACGCCTAAATTATCATCGGGCCTGAGCTGCCCAGGTTGCTCCGAAGACTGAGGGTCGATTTCCATGCTGCTCCCTTGGCTGCTCTTCCCACTGCTGCTGGTAGACGGTTCTTTGACGATGATGGTGGGAATTGGAATAGAGCAGGTCTTCTCCGGGCTGTCTTCAACATTAGACTGCTTCACCAGCATCCCCTTCCGCCGTGCCGGCTTGGCTGGCACGTAAACTGCTTTGCTTGCAATCTTCCCAACTTCCGAGTAGGGGTTTTCTGGCATCTGACCTCTCTTGTTCCTGAAATTTGCCTGAGATGTGGCACTCCTGCTGTACAAGTCCTCCGAATCCAGCGAGTAACGGTCCAGTTCTCGTCGGTAGAAGATCCCTTTGTCCCGCATCATCGTTCCCACGTTTTCAGGCCTAACCAAAGAAATTTTTGCAGCTGAGTTCTGATTAAACGCAGGTTTGATTGTTCCATAGCTCCTCGATGTTGGGGACTTGGGAGAGTTGTAAAGAGAGGGAGAAGGTGGTGGTGGTGACGGGGGCAAGGACTGCGGTGGTGGTGGGATGTCTTCAGAAGTGTCCGGCATCGAAAGACTTCTGGTAAATTTCAACATAGGATCGCTCTTCCTCCGTTATTCCTAAAAATCAGAGAGCACATTTAAAATACCTTCTTTCCCTGTGTTCCCTCCAAATATTGTATTTTTTCTGTATAAAACCTAAATTGCTACAATGTGTTTCAGATGGCATGAAGCATATGTGAAATTATGAAGGAGCTCTTTTGTCTGATTCTTATCATAAGCATTTTTTCTCATTGAACTCCCAGAGACCTAGTTGCCAGAATTTCACAGAATGCTCCAGAATTTTAATTAAATTGATTGCCAACATGTAGGCAAATGTCTTGGTTTTATGTATCATCAAGGTAGCTGTAGAGAAGGGCATTTGCTTTGAAAATTATCAAGCAGGGAAGACATTCTGTGCAGAAGAGTAGCTCATGACTGGCTCTAGCACTCTCTAAGTACATAAAATAATGCAACATAGAAACAAAACGAACTTTTAAGATGTGCTTGAAGCTTAGCAAAGGGACTGGGAAAATTCTGCTGGGGAAAAATCATATTGTTTTATTTAAGAAATTGGTATTGTGTTATTGCAAATATGACTTTTAACATAAATAAAAATAACAGGGTACTTTAGATGACCAATTTTACATAAGCATAATGTGTTCCTAATTTGATAAATATCACTGCTAAAGAAGATTACTACCAAGAGGAAAACAAGCTCCAAGCTTGATTCTCTTATTTTTTTTCCTTCCCCTCCTGTGTAAAATCATCCCTTTCCACTTGGAATGGAACAAAAAGCTGATTTTAATTCTTTTTCATCAGGAAGCATTTCTTTGCAAAACGCATAGCATTACAATGCCTTTGCCTCAATAATAAGAGGAAAAAAAAAAGAGAACAACATTTTGCCTTAAGTAATGCATTATGATCGACTTGAGCTGATCTTTTCTCCCTCTTCTCACTTGATTTCTTTCTAAAGAAATGAATTAAATTATAATTCCATAATATTTGCCCAATATTTGTTATCAAATTAAAATGTGAAATTACAATATCTTAAACGTGTTTTTTTCTGTGGACTGTATAGAAAAATGAGAAAAATCACTCACTGAGGTAAAGATGTTGGAGACACAATCTTTAAGAAAGAAGCAGAGTTACTATAATTACATAGTTAATGCACAAGTAGACTAGGCATGAGAAGCATTTTACCTATAGATTTTTGTCTTCTCATTGTACCCCGAGGTATACCCAGAAAAGGACCTTGAGGACTCCCTGGTACAGTGGGCGTCATCACAGCAATACCCTGTCTCTCATACATGGACTACAAAAAAACAAACAAAAAACCCCACAAGCATTAGAGCATGCAAGTCTTTCTCTCACACACAAGTAACTCTTCTGTTAGATTTACTGTCCCTCTTCCTCAGTTAGAATTCTTACGGAAAATGACAAATCTCCTATCTTTTTGGGGAGGAGGTGAGGCAAAAAGGAAGGCTGGCCTTTATTTATATATTAATAAAGTAAGTGGAGTTAGCTGAAATTATTTACCAGAGAGTACGTTAAATTTCTAGCAGGTATCATGCGCTGTGAGAAAAAGCGAACAACGGGAGCAATTACATGTGGTTTCCTTCCCTCCCGACACCTCGCCCCACGCGGCGCAGGCATTAGAGTCCGCCAAGGCCGCTGCCCTCCTCACTGGGAAGGACGGACGCGCTCGCGCTCTCTCGCGCAGAGCCGAGGAGTCTGGCGCGAGGTTACGCGCGAAGGAGGGCAGCACCGCAGCTGGGAATGGAGCAGAGCCTCCTGAATCGCACTGCTCTAGGCCATCCTTCTGTCCTCTAGGCAATCAAAAGAATTCCTCACATCTAGACCTGCGTCAGGTCACGGCCAAAACCCCCTTCCATACCAAGCTTGTGTCAGGACTGGGGCTATTTGAGACAAGCAGGCAACAGAAAAGCAAAATCTAGACTGCAGGAAAAACAATTATTTTTTCTGTTAAGCTTGGCAGAAGCAAATTCTGCAATTGAGGAATCCAATTTTGAGAGTTTGGGCTTTTACATTTTTAATACATGCTGTAGTATTAATGTCAATTTTCCCTAACAAATCATCATGTATTATTTAATCAACCTATTTTCTATGCCATTAGGAATAATAAAAAACCTGCAGCAGGAGAAGCCTTCACGTTAGTGGAAACCATGTGGCTGCGTGAACTGAACTAGCATACCTTGATTTTCAGGAAAGGATTTTTGCTGGGGTATAGAGTTATACCAACACCTCCTAGTACGGATCTTACTGGTGCTTGGACTACAGGCAAAACAAGTTCACAACTGTTTGAGTAACTCTGAGGCAATAATGCTGCAGATGTGACAGGATCTCAGGATAAATATAAGGATATAATGAGAAAAGGTACAGAGGGGTACCTTCAGGGTCTCACCAGGTACATATATCTTCTAAGTACTGATAGACCACACCTTAAATTTACACAGAAAGAAAAGCAGAATAAGTGCATAAGCCAATGTTTTTAAATTAATTTCTTTGTATGGCCAGCATATTGCCAAAGTGCAATCAAATCAAAGTTGCCAAAGCGAAAGCAGTATTTCATAGCTCCCACTCACATTCATATCTGTAGCTGAGGGAAAACATCTACTAGAAGGCCGCTGTTTAATAGTTGCCACTCTTGAGTCCACAGTTGCATTGTCTGCAATTCTTGATGGCTTGGAAACTGGTACTATTTCATCCACCTTATCTGTAATATAAAAACATTCAGTAAAATAAATATAATTTGTCCAAAAACTGAAAATCTAAGTATTGCAAGGTCAAAGGAAGAGATTTACTTTTCAAAAAAATGCAAAGAAAAAGTTTTTCTGGCATTTTAACAAGGCAATGCTTGAGCATCATAAGTCGTGCAAGCCGAGCACTTTTTATTGCTGCTACATAACATGCATGCTTTAGTTTTAAGCCTGCATGCATTTAATGTTTACTTAGTGTGACTCGAAAAACAATCCTCTTCTTCAAACCTTCAAAATGTGAAGGGAGAATATCTATATAGAAATGGAAAGAAGACCTTTAGAAATAATGAATCCGTACAGCACTGATTCAAATAGAGATAAGCAGACTGTACTTAGTCATCAGAATTTCAGTGATATTTTGGACAATAACAAGTACTCCAGAAGTGCTCTTTTATGCCTATTCTTCTCAAGTAACTGCATTTTAATCTCCTCATGTTCTCAGATTATTAAATTAGCGCTATTGATAATTGCATCACTTATTAAATGAAACTTTTATCAGTACCTTGTATTTTAAGAAGGGCACAATCTGGGATAAACCTAAATATACTTAACTGTGGTCATAAACAGACAGAACAGGCAAAGTCCAAATGCGAACGAGAATGTCAACACTTGGATTTGAGATTCGGATCTAGCATGTAACATGATGGCAAAATACAGGGAAAATTTTAATCAAGATCTTCCAAGGTTTAGAGTGTTTGTTTTAGCCCCATCACCAATTTTGATCGCAAACAAGATTAATCAGTATTTAATACCGCACATTACTCCCTCAGACGGAGGGCCTCAAAGTGCCCTCAGCAAACAAGTCATTATAGCCTGACAGCTCCTTTATTGCCACTCTCCTATTAGCAAGAAACTAAGGCACGGAGAAGTTAAATGAGTAGCCTAAGCCAAAAGAGTAATTCAGTTTCTGAACCTGCGCTAGAATCCAACTTGTATTGCACCCAACACGTTTCCCTGCTACCCCTTTCACCACGTTTGCTTTCCCAAGAAAGCACAGACTACAGACTGGCACCATGTAAACTAATCTGCAGGTGGCAATCATGTTCATTTAGTGCCTTTTTCTCTTGAAGTTTCCTCAAAGTAAGGGCTCTTTACAGAGCCTCTAGGTACCTACGAGAGTACCCACCACTCGGAGTGACTCCTGAGCCTGGCTCCTTCCTTCCACAACCCGACTCGGAGCCGCTGCTACTGCTCAGCAATTACATCTCTCCCAAATGCTTATTTGCTTCAGCAGAAAAGTTTTAACTACTTCATTAGGTTACTACAGGCTTAAGAAAACAGGTCTCTGGTGGTGTCTAAAGAGGTGTTACTATGCAAAGTATGGGATTTGGGGATTTCAGCTTTACCTCTCAACAGGAAAGCAGCACACTCCGGGCCCTGGATATGGTATGGATGGGAATACGGCAGGAGAAAGAAAAGCTTTTGATCTCTCTAAGCAATAGATCTGGCTGATGGAAGACTGACTTAATTATGTATTCATTTTAAATGGGAGCAGGTGGAGAGGGAAGAACTTTTAGCCTTCTGGTTAGGAAGAAGATTGTCCTAGAGGTGGATATTTAAGTGTCACAGAGGGCGGAGGAGCAGTCAGGAGAGGGAACGGGAGCAGGATCAGTAAGCTGAACACCGTCGAAAGCGGTCTCACAAGAGTAGTGTTGCTGTTTCTTTTCAATGGAAGTTAGCATTCAGTGTTTTCATTGGTCTACTTTATTTCTGTGTGTTTTAAATCATCCAGTGGAAGGAGAAAAGGAAAAAAAAAAAAAGAAGTCTTAAAACCATCACATGTATTCAAAAATAAAACACACTTCAAATCACATTTCATAAGACTTTGTAATACAAATTTGAACTTCTGAAAGAAAAATATCTGCACTTCTGCTCAGCAAAAGGCATCAGAAAGCAATGGTATAACCATAAACATTTGAACTATACAGCAAAAATATGGCTAGACTTTTAGAATCATATTCAGGGGGATCAATCACCAAGAGCTTCAAGGGTGCAGAGATTTCACATTAAGTCTCTCCAACCCTTTTTATCATCCCAGAAGACCAAACAACTGGTCTTTGGGATACAGAGAGAAGGAAGCTTGGGAAACTTAAGTGCTAGGCACTCAAAATCTGTAAATAAGAAATATAAATATACCATTTAAGAGCTGATCCCTTTATTTTTAACAGACACATGTAACCGTACACCCATTCAGACAACAAAAAGCTACAGAGAAAGAGTGATGAGGCTATGACAGACACTTGAAAAGCATGAAAATACTTGTTTGGGGAATGAAACACACATACCTCCGACTGCACTGATTTTGCTCAACAATACTAGAAGTCAGATCCAAATCTGGGATCTGACCAAAATATCAGTTGGTACCAATTCTTAATATCATCTGCTATCTCCGGTTGGGAAAACTTTTATTCAGCATGAGGTTATTGCTGGTTTCTGGTCTGTAGATAGGTTCTCAGTCCTTCTTACCCTATAGCTGCTCCCATTCAAGTGGTGCTCTGTGCCTTTCCAAATCTAGGTAAAGCACTTCAAAATGGGAGAGGAGATCAGGTTAAAAGCTCACGGTGCTTTGCAAGCAACGCTTTTGGGGCTCCTTGCGTGTCATTTCCAACGGCAGCACTGCTACATCTGCACAGCTCGTTCCTGTGCTCTCCTGCCTTTCATCGGAATGCAAAGGTAGGCTGGAGGGTGGCTTTTTAAAATCGCAACAAAAAAATCAGAAGTTACAAAAGCAGCCAGTCTGTGGAGTAAGATTTATCCTAAATGGCAGCAGCTACATGGCGGGTCCTGCAGAATACATCAAAATCTGGCCACAACTGCACCACACTTTTGAAGTGAAAGCACTATATAAAATAAAGACATTCTCATCGTATAACCATACATGTGCTAATTAGGCCAAGAAAATTAAGTGGCTGACTTGTGTTTGGCTTCATTCAAACTCATCCGAAAGAAATAAGATGTAAGCATATTGGGACAAACTCTCACTTGCTTTTAACCATTAACTAGGCTGTTCGTATCCACAGTACCAGCGTGCAAACCATGTATGCACCAGAAACACATGTTCAAAGGCGGCAGACGCTGGAATAATTTGTCAGCCTTGCTAACGAACTTCTCCCCCAACTTGTTGTGATCTTAGTTATTTTGCAGCGTGTGTTTCTTGTACCAGCGAGAGGGGAATCGGAATCTCGCAAACTTGTATTGGAAATTCTCTGAGGAAATCTTTACAAACAGCATTCACAAAAGAGAGAGAGTTTAAAAAAAAAAAACACAGAAAGGTGCAGACACTTTGCACCCACTGTGAGGTGTGTTGTGGTGGCCAAAGCAGTACCCCTCCAAGGATGCTCTTAAGGAGGACGCCGCTGGATGTACGTGGCAGCGAAGAAATACCCTGTGCTGGAAAGAGCCTGCACTGGATGTTGGCCATACCAGCTGCATTTCACCTTAAAGTGGTCATTTAGCAAAGCCCGGCCCCAAGCACACGCGCACACATACTTATAAGGGAGCAACTTGTGGCTGACTGGTAGAATAGCTTCATTTCGATCAACTCGAGGCTCAGAGAAAGACAGGGAAGAAAAGGCTACGGCTCACTGGAGAGAGACCGCGAGAGAGAGAGAGCACAGCTCAGCTGCAATCATAAAAGAGGATTTTTAGGCCTACAGTTATTCGCTAAGATTTGCCAGAGGAGGAATTCACTAGTGTTTTGCCGTACAAACTCTTCTGAACCTTTATGAGAAGTTACAAAGGGATGCTGAGAGTCAAACACAGGAGCCATGCTACACCTGTGATAAAGTTACCACTGCTCGAGGGGCTCCTGGTAACAGTGTCCTTTCCGAGAATTGTCAGGGATACCACATGTATAAGCCAGTCTGATGCCTCTGCATGCATATAGCAATTTGAGTGCCACTATATTAAATTCCCCCGAGAGAGGCAGCACCAACAGATATAAAATAATTTATTGCAAAGTGCACTTCCATCTGTCCTGTGGGTTCTCAGTTGCACCCAAGTTGTGCTCAGGGTGCCAGCCCTCAGGAAATGAGATGGCCTAAAGGCACAGAAAGTAGTTGCATTTTATCAACATGTAGGTCATCTCTGATGAAAAGCTCTTAATCACAGACATAGTAGCACAGTACCCAACAGCATGTCATGACTTTTACATTCTCCAGAAATCTGGCTGCTAGGTAAGTTGCTTTTTATTTTTTTTTTTTTCTTTTTTTTTTTTTTTTGCGTACGCAATTAATATCTGATAATTACAGGGGACAGTCTCCTCCTAACAGATTTATTGCAGGAGGTGGTTCTTATCCCCATAAAATACATTGCTTAGTGACTCCTGTTTCCAATTCTGAGACTCTCTCAGAGGAAAAGTTATAATGCTGCCCATCAAACCACCAGATCCATCATAAAAGGAACTGTGAAAATGAGAGTCAGGTGCCTAGATAGATCTGGTGGCACGTTACTATAGGCCCCAAAAGTTATATATGAGATATGATCCTGGCAACATTACTGATTATACGACATAGCCAAGACATGTGGATTAGCTCCACCGAGGGTCTTAAAAAAGTGAGCTGGTCAGACCCACAGAGGATAAGAATGATCATGGTCCAGTACAGGCTAACCCCAACACCTCAGGCTGGCATGCCAGAAACACCAGGCAAAGACTGATCGAACACAGTTTTGGAGGCGAGTATTGCCAAGACCTGTATACTTACCACCGAGTCCAGAATGCTTGCTCAGAGGGGATGGGATAATGGAGAAAGAAAACTCAAAAAACAGCTGCCTCAAGAAATGACTTGTATTTGTAAGAAAAGCAATGAAGGCCTGGCACAGAGTAAAAAAATGCTCTTATGAAGTTAAAGTGAAAGAACAGAGGCAAATGTTCTTCAAATACCAGCAGCACACATCATTAACAGTGCAAATATCAACTACAAAATGTTAGACTAATCTAGTCAGCCAGAATACAATGTTAGCCAATGTGAAAATGGTTGAAATCTGCCACCGATGGCCTCATGGCTAAGAATTAAAAGGACAGACACATTAAAAAAAAAAAGAAAGAAAAGAAAGAAAAGAAAGAAAGAAAGCTAAAAATCCTGTGGTATGGTTATTTTTTCTTCCCTCCCCCTTTTGCCTGGCGTGTAGGCATGGGCAATGAGGCCCTCTCGGTTATGGCTCTCTGCAGCCGGCCACTGCGACAAGGCAGAGTGGCCTGTGGTGGTTCTCGAGAGTCACTAGTCCCTTCGGCCCCCGGTAAGCACACAGTGGAGGTTGCCACTGCGTCCTCACCAGTCCATGTCGAGGCACAAGTTAACTCGACATGGGGGGTGGCTCTTTGGGAGATACGTGTCTCAAGGACCTGTGTCCTTGGCTGCTTGAGGAAAGCTAAAATCTCTGACAGGTAGTTATGGATGGCTCTTGTGGAGGTAGCCACAATGCCTAGCTGCAGCTCCATACGGCCCATGGACTGCGACATGAGGCCCATGGACTGCGCATGCTCCCTCTTGATATTTTCCAGCAGCTGCACAATCCTACTGTTGGTTTCCATCAACAGCTTCTCTCCCTCTGTTAGCTGGGGCTGCCCTCTCCAACCCCGATCCCTAGGGACAGGCTCAACACCGCGGTGCTCTTCATTCATTTCATCATTTCCCTCCTCCTCCTCAGGAGAGTCACTTTCAAACTGAGGAGTCCTACTGAGTGACTGATCCCCGGGAGACTGTATGTCCATGGTACACTCCGGAGTCCGCGCTGGTGTTTGAAATCCCTCAAAATCTTCCCCAACGTTGCTGTGCGTTTCAGATGAGGACAACGGCCACTGCCAGCTCTCTGTGGTCCTGGCCGGCGAGTCTTCATCAGAGGCAGGCACCGAGGATTCCTGTTCTTCTGCCGGCGTGGACGGCGAGCTCCCTCGGTGACGGCCGGCTTGCCCCGAGGATCCAGGAACCTCCCCATCTTGTTCCCCAGTGACATCTGGCAATCAAATAGAGGAGCAACAACCACTGTATCTGAGGCCAGGTAGACGGAGGTATCTACATGCATTGGACAACACATAGAAAGAAGCCAGTTGGGAAGCCAGAGTGTATGTGTTTGGGCAAACAGAAGGGTGGACTAAAGTTTAGTGACTAAATTGGGCATACGGCAGTCAAAGTTAGCAACTGCTCTTTTTTATATATAAATGCACACTGTCCTGTACCCATAACACACACAGCCATGCTGCATCCCAAGGCAGGAACTACCAATTCACCTCATCGTGACTGTGACAGGAAATGTCAGTGAACCTATCGAGAAGCTCACCTATGCACTGCAGTGGTGTCAGTCAGACATCCCTGGGACGAGCTCAGGGCCAAGTGTCCAGTGGAGCTTCCTGTGGTGCCAGATGTGCTCCACCACTGGCCTGAGCGGCAGCCCTTTGTTGTTCTGCAGCTCTGCTGGCTATCTTCTCTTTTGTCCGATGGCCCACGTCACCCCCACCCCCAGTGCCGTCTCTCCCACATCATTGCTGCAGAGCAATGGTGGCTGTCCACAGCACCCATCTGGTGAGCAATGCCCTCCCCAACACTGGCACGATTTTTCCTGTTGTTCTCTCCAAGCAACAGCAATGCTATCCAAGGGCATTGCTCACCAGGATGTCATTGGCTTCTGAAAATACCCTTAGCTTGGCCCTCCCCTGGCTACCTCTTCCCTTGCCTGAGGGCATGTGGTGGAAATGTGGGTGCGAGTGCTTCCCTGTGACAGCTTAGTGTGCAGAGAGTCATTGTTAGTAAAGAGGAGGACATTACGTACTTACTCTACATCCTCCCCCATACAAAATGCACTCCCAAAGGTTAGAAACGGCTAAGCTTTTTGCACCCACGGCAATCATAGGCTCATTTTGGAGCATGATCTGCCCAGCACCATACTGGATTACACGAATCAGTGGCCATAACGCTCACCCTTTCCAGACTCGAATTAAAAAATTGTCTTTTGGGGGGACAATTTGGTCATCAGAAATTAACCTGGGGTAATCCAGCTAAAACATACAATACTGTAGCCTGCGTTACTAACTCTCAGGCAAGGGATACATGAGAGAGGTGCTGTTGACAGTAAGACCGTTATGTGAACAATGGCAGTTGACTGTCACTGCCTGGCTGTCTGTGTTGTTTGCACTATGGTGTTCTCAATGGCAGCACAGTGGCATAGCTACTGTCTGACATCCCGGTCTTAAAAAATGTTGTTTTTAAGAGTTAACTTCTGCTCTTTGAAAATACTTATATGCTGCTCTTCAGAACTTAATTTGAAGTTATGAGCGTAAGCTCATATCTGGAACACACTGCTGAGGTCAGGTTAAAATTAAAACAATACTTTTTCTAGTTTTGTTTATGAACTTTTTTTTTAAAAAAAAAAAAAATATATATATATTGTTTTAAAGCTCCTTCTGACAGACCCAAAGATCCCTCTTCCTATGCATCAGTCCTTATCTTCCCTAATTCTAATATGGCACTCATTATTTCTATAAGTGCCTCCAATATTATACTGCTCTAAAAGGGATTCTCTCTGGCTTAATTACAATGTTTTTAATGCTAAAGTCATGGACACTATTTGTGCATTTGGCATGTTAACTACTTTAACGTATTCACATTCAAAGTATTCACATTCTGTCTGTGTCTGGCTGGACTGTCCAGTTGCATGTTTTATGGAAAGTGAGGATGAGGTTGTATTTGTAAAAAGGCATGAGCTCCTTATGAAAATGAATTTTAGGGACAAACTGTCATGCAATCATTGGCTCTTCCACTCAATGGAGATTTGAAAGGGACTGTATATCAACCTAATTGCAATAACTGCCTCTTCCTTACAATTCTATTCCCCCTTTGCCTGACACAGCCAGAGCTGCAATCCCTTATTAACAAATCTCTCTTAGCAACTATAGTGCAGGATCAGGAAATTAAGTTTCAGCATTTCCCTATCTGAATACACATGAAAAAAAAATCCAAAAATAAACAGGGGACCTATTTTTACCACACATAGCAACACACATTTCGCTTAAATTCTATGGAATCGGAGAAGGATAAGGGATTATGTATATTCATTCTGGTAGAGTCACTGGTCATACAAAAGGGTTTTGTAACTCTTTTGACATGTCGTCAGAAAATCTCCATATTTGAAAACTCCATCTTCCTGACAAATGTTCTAAGCAAAGCCCATCTAACAATGGTAAGTAATAGAACCCAACTAAATTAAAAGTCAAAAACTGAAACAAAACAAAATGGAAAACTCCAAACCCCACATTAATTTATGAATACTTCTGTAAATAGTATCACTGAGTTTAGTTTGCTCAGATTCAGGGGGATCATCTTTCTTTTGTTATTTGTGCTTGTTTACACACTTGCCAGAGGCTTGTGGAAATACGCTGCTCTGGGAAAAGCATAACAAATTTCTGCAGAAGTTCTTCATTCTCTAAGCAAATTTACTATTTGCCAAGCTCCTAGTCAATATTTTTAGCCTCCCAGTCAAAGAGCTGAAAGAAGAGCATCTGGCATATGTGACCCAAAGACACAAATGACAAAGAGTCTAAGCCAACAGTCTATGAAAACCAATGTCTGGAAAGTTAATTGTGGAAACTACTGGCGAATACTTATGAATAATGAATACAGTCACATGTGTTGGGATAGGTTTGTTAACTTGTCTACTAATGAAAAGGAGGTATATTCATTAACTGGTATTATTCAGAGTGAAATGTTCAACAGTTCTAGGAACTCCAGCTTATGGAAGCTTTCTGAAGCATTGACGTGGGCATGGGAAAAGCGAGGGTGCATTAGAGGCATGGCCTTACACAAGCTTTCATTTGCTGCACAGCAATCATGGTGACTCTGCCTCAAGGTCAATGGCTGACACCCCAGCAGTGACGTGTCAGTCCCTGTCCATTCCTTGATGACCAAAGGTCGCCCTAAACTCAGACCAGATCTTGTTAAGGTGATGGCACCAGCTGCTAGGTTGGTGCTGTGGAAAAGGTGTGCCAGTTACAGCAGGGGCACTGGAAAACTTGGTTCGGCAAAGAATTATCGTGGTCAGCTAGAGAAGGGGTGGGCTGATTTGGAAGGTCACTACAAAATAGCTGAAAAAGTTACCCGAACAGGCTGCCTTTACCGCATTACTGTGGCAAAGGGGTGACTTCTTAAAAAGAGAGGGGGAAAAAAAAGCCACAAATAAGCACTAAGTGTGCCAAGTCGAAACTGGCTGTAGACCAAGCTAAGTATCAACAAAGTTGATTTTAGTTGGTTGTTATTTGGCTTAAAAAAAATCTTTTTAAACCAAGTTTTAAATTCAGTGGGTACAAAGAAGCACAGCTAGCTTCCTTCTGTGTGAAGCAAAAGGAAGAGGTTGGATTCTCTCCTTTTTCTAGTTGTTTCCACCTTATACATCATTCCTACATGCAGCAGCTTGCTCACAGTGATATACACAACTTGCATGCAAAATAGGTCACTTGTGTCTTTTTATATATACCTTTATATTTATACCTAATGATATCAGCCAACAAACTCTGGCAGTCTCCAAAGTCATCACTTCATGTTCCTGACCTCATGTCCCTCGCTCTGATGGGGCATGATTCCCATTTTGCTCTCGAAATGAGCAAATAAGTGAACCACAAAGGAGCATGTATATGGGCTAAAGGAAACACAAACATCTGCAAGTCAGTGACCCACTTCACTGTGCGGCTATTTCCAAAAGTCCCATAGGGCTAAACACTGCTTTCTCATTTACCTCACTCTTCCTAATATGTTAAAAGAAAAAAAAAAAAGGTGGGATCTGTTATTAAAGCGATCCATGTGATAGCTATCCTCCTTTCTTTCCTCTTGTCAGACAAGTCCTCTCTTTTTGCAGCAAAGGCTGTAGCTGGCTGCCCGTAGGGGTGTTTCTGCTGGGCTGACACAGAGCTTTGCCTGAGGTGGCAGATCAGTGGTGGAACTTCTCCTGGCAGCCACAGCAGAACTGTTGTGTCTTCTGTGCCTGTGAAGGGGGGCTGTGGTTGGCCCACTGCTGTCCTGAAAGGCATGACTAGAAGCCAGGATTACGTCAGCCCTTCAGGTGCATGAATATGTAGATCATTTTGGAGCGCTGCTACGCTGTGCTGGCTCTCACCCCAATACATTCAATATCACATCTCCTTGGCGACTGTCCTTCAGGCTTGTCACTGGCCATCTGTAGGAGTCTAGAAATTATTGATAGCACTTTACCCAGGTAACTGAACGTTCAATGCAGGCATAGGGATAGAGGACCAAGACAGAGGCCAAGAACAGAGCACAGGCTACAGTGGGTTTTGGGTAGAGACAAACTTTAGAGACATCAGAGGTATTTCATTAACTTTTGCTCACTGAAGAACATTTGAGACTTATGCCTGTGTTGCGTCTTACCTGCCACTTGGACTGGCAGTTGATCCCTCCCCTGAGATGTGCTGCTCTTTAAGAATCCCTCCTTTTGAAATCCCACCATTTCTGTTTCACCTCTGCTACTGGATCGTTGCCTTTTCCATTCATTATTTTTCCTTTTCAGACTGCCCACCAGTGGAGCTGGACTTGAGGGACGGGGTACCGTCTTCCTGCTGACGGGTAGCTGGAGATGTTGCTTGGCCACAACAAATGGGCCAGGAGCTCAACAACAGCAGTACCACAGTTGGGGAGCTTCCTGGAACCTGCCTCTGCTGCTCTGGACCTGGGCCTCTGCCTGTATCTGCATCATGCCTCCAGTGGTGGGTGCATTTTTCAAACTGCTTAGGTACCAAGGTGATAGATGCCTTGTAAATACCTAAGATAGATACAGACAGAAACTGTACCAGGCACAATCAGTTATGCAAAACTTAATACAAAGCCAATTGCACCTATATGTTGTAGTATCACCCACCTTGTCTAGCATCTGCAGTCAATCACAGTCAAATATTTGGCACAAGAATTTTTCCTTTTGAAAACAGATGGGCACACAGTGCATTCATTCTTCCTTGCTGCCAAAAGGTCTAGGAACTTAGCTCTCAATGTTGGGTGCTGCATCACCTGCCCTAGTATGCATTTGCAAGTTTAGTTTATTTCATATGCTGATGTAATTTGTGTCTGGCAATAATCTGCAAAAATCAGTTATATAATCAATATTGAAATTACAGGGGCAGTATTTATGTGTGATTATGCATACAGATGTATTAAAACTACATAAAAATATTGTTTTCATGCTGCTTCTGTCTTAATATTTTTAAAAATTTTATGTACATGTTGATTGTTTTAGCATAAAGATCAGAAACGAACTTGAGTATAAATGATATTGATCTTCAAAAATTGGCACGAGTGAATGAAAGCACTTAACAGAAGTAGGCGGACTTATTTCCACTGTACACCTTTTTGGTTTTTGTCATTTCCCATACTGAGGGAAAAGAACTTGTCCTGCTTATTTTTTGCAAGAATGGCTGGAAAGAAACTTTATAAAAGACAATTTGGGCAAACTATGTATCGGAATCTAGATGAAGTTTTCAAAGTTGAAGAACACTTTCCACTAGTGCTGGGAGGGTAGAATAGAAGGAAGAAAACTAATAGATTTCAAATACAGTTTGATCGGGCTACCAAAATTCATATGCTTGCAACAGAAGCAACTCTATGCAATGAACAGCTCTCTAGTAACTCGGGGAAAAAAAAACAGGTGACTCCTATTTGTAGATGGTTAAAGAATGTCTTTGTTATACTAGCTATGCCTACTGAAAACTACTGCTTTTGTGAGCTAGTCAAACATGAACAGACATGTAAAAATTAATCAAAGATCAGCAGTAGGTAAGGTTATCCAGGTCAAATACTGCTAATAATGTTAAAAATAAACTTAGCTAAATTCTTGTTTCAGAGTAAGAACTATGAATGTTAATATTTAAATTCATGTATATTGGTTACGATCATACTTAAAAATAAGAAAAAAGAAGCCAAGCCTACAGTAATATCATGTAAATGTTATAGCTAAAAGTACACAGAAATAGAATGATTTTGAGCTTTCATTTACAAAATTAGGCTAATCCTCATAAATCTGTCACCATGACCACATCTTAATCTGGAATTAACTTGTTGCAGCCCAACCACAAATGAGCAGTTACAGGATTGGGCTTAAATCACATGCCAAAATCATGTATTTACCATCCTGCAAACAACAGGCAGAGATGATTACTTTAACAGTTATAATAAGGAGGAAATAACAACACTGCTTTCCAATACAGTCAGGAACACAAAGCATTTGAAACACCCTCCTTTTACAAAAAATTAGTAAAAATATGTGTGTATTGTCTGGGACACTGTAAACTACATAAAGTGCACTAAAATCCAAAAAGGGAAAAATATATAAAATAAATCAGTAAAACATAAAAGCTTTTTAGTGACAAACTAAGCATTTAACATCTAGTATCTATAAATATCATTACATGATTTATAAGAATGACTTGTATGTAATCACAATAAGGATAAATCAAAACTTTCTTGTAAGAAAGTCTCATTTGTGTTTTTGGGGTTGAAAATATCTTCACATCAGTACATAAAAGTCACATTTACATATTAGAATCACACCATCAAAAAATAATTTTAAGGAAGGCAGAAACCTGGCATGTTCAAATTCTTGCTACAGATGCAATTTTCAAGTACCAGCTCTTTAACAGTACGTTCAATCATGAAATAATTATACAGGTATTTAAAATGCACCTGCAATCCTGAAACCTTACAATTCAGCCTACCTTGAAAGAGGAATGGTCATTGTTTAACACTGGTTTCTGTTTAAGAACAAAAACAAAGCAGAGAATATAGTCAATACCCACTCCTATCCTGCAAGTCAGGTGGAATTTCAGTGGCAGTTTGTTGGTCTGTTTAAGAGACAGCATTTGAAAATTGGGGCTAGACACAAAAGAAACACAATCAACCAAAAAAAAAAAAAGCCAAAAAGGAGGAGAGAAGGACACTTGCAACTTTCTCTGTTCTGACACTTAGTCTTACACTTCACACCAAGGGGAAAAAACAAGCAAACTATGATGGATTATCTAAAAACATTTATTTTTCATTATGTAAGAAGTTAATTAACATGGATATATGAACATCTGAAGGAAAAAAAGAGGAAATAGTAGCAAAGGGAGTTTTGAGATGAGGGAGATAAGACCTTCATCTCCCTGGCTCCTGAAAAAGAGAGAGAACACATTAAAAGTGGTGAAAAGTCTTCCATTGATCTAATTGTACCATGTTGGGGAAAACATGCAATTTTTATTGTTCCTAAAGCACTCATGATTTTGAATATCTGAGTATAGCCAGTGACACTCACATATGCCAATGTATTTCATTCATCTGGCTCCAAATGCTACCAAACCACGTTTCCCTTAACACTTACAATTCCTTTTCCAACTTCTTTCATACCATTGTCTTGTTTGGCTGGTAGAGAAAGGCCTTTGAAAACCTTTTTAATTACTGCCCTGTAGTAAAGAAAAACAAGTATCATGAAAGGGCGCTTCGTACTGGAGAATAATCTACAAAACTTAGAATAATTCTGGGGTAGGTGAGGAGAATACCCACATAGAGCCTCAACTAACTTCTGCTCAGGATTCCCAGTGTTTTCTGAATGTCAGTTAAAGCTGCCCTCCTTGAGCAACAGAAACTCTGGTTTGAAGTAGTGTTCAATACTGCGAGTCACTTGTTAATTTAAGAAGCTAGGCCCAAGGTTGTTAAAAATCAGTCCATCTCCAGATAGGTGTCTTTTTTTTTTTTCCCAGAGGAAACTCAGGGTTAACATTTTTCTCCTTAAAACAGGCAAATTTTCAATACTTCTCGATTTGAATGTGTTTTAAAAGCACATATGTCATAGTCATGGCTTGAATCCTATGCCCCCTTACGCTGTCAGAGTTCCCCACAGTTAGACTGCAAGTTATAAAACCTATAACTTGCTACATCTACACAAATATGGGGCCCATATTTTGTCACACACATAATCGAAACTCCTCCGAGAGTCACCGCTTCATGTTGTGAAAATGACAGCTTGATGACAACCTTTATCTTAGTACTACATTGCTATCTTATTAGGATTTTAAATATGTAATGCAAATCAACTACTTACAAGGACACCCTTCAAGAATTCTTCTTCCAGCCTGATGCCTTTTGCTGTCATCTTCTAAAATACAGTGTCTGGTGCAGATCAGAAAATCTTCTTCCTACATACAAGCATTGCTGGTACTGGAAACTATCAAAGGAGTCGCAGTTGTGTGTGCTGCAAGAGTCGCTCTGATGGGACTTCCATTGTTTCCTGCAGACAAATCTCCATCATCAACTCCACCATATTGAAATACAAAAACGCCTTTTGAACCCAGATGTCTCTGCGAGTGGTTTCTTCAAGTACAACGTAACACTTTAAGGTAAAGTGCTGTTTGGCATTCATTGATATGTATTTGCTCTGCAATTTCATTGTTTCAGATGCCATTAGAAAACGTCACCTTTGAAACAATGGACAACAGAAATGGGATGAAGTGTGAATGCTTACTGGAGACAGAGCTAATAATATTTCTTTTGAATGCCATCAACTGATATTTTTCTTTTAAACTGCTGCTAAAACTTGATATCAGGTAATAATATTCTATGTTGATGATTTCACAGATATTCTGCGTCAGAGAGGTGGCATTAACATCCCGACTATTCAAAGGAAGGAAAAATCTTACATCTGTATTTGATACTTTTGCTCACATCAAAAAACGAAGGTAAGTATCAACACAAATACAGGGATCATTTTACTTTGAATAGCAAATCAAACTTAAAAAGGAACAAAAAAACAAAACAAAGCAAACAACAACAACAACAAAAAAAAACCCGCAAAACCATCCCCCAAACACCCACAGCTCAGAACTGATATTTCTAAAAACTACTTAAAAGGCCTGAATAAATATTTACCTTAGCTTTCTAAGTTAAGAACATTGTATGCTTAAGCTTTTCATACTTGTCCACTATATTAACCCAGCATTGATTTCTCCAGATTTTACTGAAAATCACAAATTGCTCAATAAACCAAGCCCACTGCCTGACAAGTAAAAGGTTGGGTGCATGAACCTTTTGAATCTTTTATCTAAGCATTTACAGATCTTAGTTTATGGATCTCTTCCTAAGGAATCACATAGTTACAAAGTTATCCTTCCACACAAAATTATCCATAAAAAAGGTAAAATAAAAACTGAAGGAAAAACCCATCAAACGGGATTTTCACAAGCTAAATAAACATCAAATGACCGGAGTTAAAACTATTATTTTAAAATACTGATTTTGAAACTCTAATGATATTCTATAGTGATGAGAAGAATCATGACTAAAACAAATGCATCAGAAGTTTCATGTATTCTAATGTTTTATTTTTAAGAGTATTTTCATATCTTCATTTTCATTTGCTGCATACACCCTAAACAATGAGGGTGGAACAGGCTGCCCAGAGAGGTTGTGGAGTCTCCTTCTCTGGAGATCTTCAAAACCTGCTTGGACGCAGTCCTGTGCCACGTGCTCTAGGTGACCCTGCGTGTGCAGGGCGGTTGGGCTAGATGACCTCTAGAGGTCCCTTCCAACCTTAACCGTCCTATGGTTCTATGACTAATTTGATTATTCTTCAGTGTTAATATGATAACTACACATTACCTAGAACTATATTGTAGGTGTGTCAAAAAAATGCTCTAACACCTAATGGTTAGTGGTTATATGTTGCTACAACTCACTCATTCTTGCAAACTTGCAAGTCACAAAGCAAAACAAAGGAGAAAGCCTCTTCCCCCAACCCCAACACCCACAAATGCCGGAAAGTAGATGTGCGATTAAAAACACAACCCCTCCAAACATGCATTCTGAAGTTGGATGCTCTCCCTCTGATATAGGCAACTGTAGCAACCAGAAGTCGTCTGTGGTATAGATGAAGCAAAGTCTACCTTTTAGTAATTTGTGCTATGAAACTACAGTAAAATTATAATGCTGCCCGGTCATAATGCTGTGATTCTTTGTGACCTAAAGATTTTACTGCCTATTTGTACTATTTAGACACAAATATACCTTCTAACCTCAATAGAAAAATGCCAGCCTCCTCCCCTGCCACCTCCTACCTTCTCCCCTGCCACCTCCTACATTTTCCCATCCTCCCATCCAAGCAGAACCTGCTCCCCAAACAACAACCACCAAAATCAGTCCAACGAAACCGGAAAACCCATATTTTCCTCATAAAGGTGTCTCTCACCTATAACCCAGAAAACTCTCCCTTTGGTTAACAGAAAACTGTACAGTAACAACATAAATGCTTCTGATACATTGCCAAAACATATTTTTGGGAAGAATGCAGGAAGCAGTGGGGTTTACTCTGTCATAGTCTCTATACAGTTGGAACCTCTGCCAGTGACCTCAAATGAGGTCAGGAAGAACAGAAAAATAAAGAGGAGAAAATAACTCATCCGTCCTGATTTACACTAAAAAAATGCAACCCAAAACTTCACTGCTGAGAGAAGCCACTGCCTGCAGCCTGGCTTCCCTCTCAGTGACCCTCAACTTCTCCTACTACAGGCCGCAAACCACCCTGCCGGGTCTCAACCAGGGCCCGGTGGGTTCGAGGCTCCTTCTGGGGCTAGACACCATGAGAACGGGTGCAGAAACACAGACCCTGCTCAGGAGAGCTCACAGTCTAAGAAAGCAAAAGGACATACAAGAGTATGGAGAAAATACAGCTAAACACAAACAAAATTTGCATACATATATACAGTTACACTCATAAAAACTACTAGAATGGGGTAACTATTTCCACCTGTCCCTGCACCTAGCCACTTAGTTATCAGTTAAATGATAACTTAATAGGGATCACAGGGGATGTGGGTCTTGAGGAGAGATTTCAAGGGGGAAGTAGTAGCCTTATGAATCAGTCCAGGGAGGGCTTTCCATGCATACGGTACAGTGTGGAGGATGTTATATCGAAAACTTAAAATTGTGCAGAGCAGCATTTCTCTGGGGTCAAAATTCAAGGTGTGGTGTGCAAGATCCCTATTTCCTGAGACAGACACAGTGTGGTTATGTGAGTAACGTCTGGCCGTTAAAAAGACAAGGGAATCACTAATGTCGGCCTACACTGAGGCTATGTTACTTGCCACATAGTCTCCAGGGCCACCAGTTAGCACAGTAACTGCGGGGAAGTGATATGGAAGGGTTTTTAAAAGAGTTGGATACAAAGAAGGAAAAAAAGGCAAGATGAAGGAGAGGAGACAAAAGGAAGAAATGGGGGGGCGGGAGGGGGAGAGCGGTATTTTTGAATGTAGTCTTTTGCTTTAATTCTTAGTGTGTTTGCAATTTTTAACTAAATAACTAAAAAAACATATACAATAACTAATGTACATTTGACACCATAAAATAAACTGGACCATATGTCAACATTTACAATTATGTTATTATCCTTCACTATGGAAAGGTGAGAAACAGGTTAAACAAGAGACAAAATGCTTCCCCTTACCCTTCTTCTTCCGTACTGAAGCTTGGAAATAGAAAGGGAATGAACTGTGAATCAATTCTGAAGGTAATTTTTTAATGCTAAATCCTTGTCTGTTACTTTGAACATAAACATTGTTTTTCCATCTCTAAGAAATCAGTCTCTCCCTACTACCCTGTCCTAGGCAAGTATCTATCACTGTAGATAAACAGCTTGGCATAAGCCCAGTTTACCAGGGTTTATACCTCAACTATAGGAAATTGCTCCGCTGCAGATACGAGGTACACAATCAATTTATTTCTAAATTATTTTTAAAATGTAGTAATTTGGGCAACTTATTGATGCTAAGGATTACAATGGTAGGGCAATTTCACATCTTTGTGGACCATAGTAGAAAGGAATTGTTAACACATTATCTGCCATATTTTGTGTTAACTCATTTGAAAGAGAACAACTAAGATGATCTGATATAGCACTCAATATTACTGAGAACAGAGTAGCTAAAAGTCTGTCAATAAAACCTTGAATACATTTTAAAGCCAGGCAAAAGAAGTGACTCGAATGTTTGCAAGATGTATAAATTAAAAAAAGAGAATTATTTAGCTTAGCTAGGAGAAATGACAAAATATACTCTGAGAGAGAGCAAATAGGGAATTTCTATTTATCTTTTTCCTATACTAATAACAAGGGACATTCAATAAAATTAAGAAGCATCACACTTAGAACCAATAAAAAGGAAATACATTTGTACACAGCACATGATTAGCCTGTGGTATTCTTTGCCACGAGACATTATTGAGACTATGAACTTCTTCAATTCAGAAAAGATTACACATATATCGATGAGAACATCCACAGTGTTCATCTATACACACCTCCTATTTATTTTATACATATATTTTATGAAAAAATGCATTTCCATTAAATAAATTAGTTTAATAGATATAAAAATGTGGGTGTTCTCATAGTTTATACAGATATCCAATATATACACATAAACATATATAAATATATAAATTGTATGTATATATATGCGCACACACACACCATCTGTGTTTGATGTCAAAAGACAACTTTTAACTTATGATAGTGAGAAAATCTTCTCTTTAGGGGCTCATTCAATTGTTGTTTCTTCTCTTACTAGTCCCTTTATATGATGAATATTAAAATAGGTAGACTACAGATTGTATTTATAACAGTAGTCATACTGTTTGCTATGGTGGCAAATGTTCAGAATATCTTGGTTTATACAGGCCAGTTCAGGAAGAAGAAAAATCTCTGTTATGTCATGTATTACTATAGCTTTATTAGAGAACAAATACTTCTGGAGCAGACTCCAGTACTGTTCTTCAGCTCACTAAAGTCCTGCCATCATAACATTTGCCCAGGGTAGGTAAAGATAAGGAGGAACAGGCTCAAGGACATCCCAAGGGTGCTAGTCACAAGAGCTGCAATGGATCCTGAGAGTCGATGAGAACAGGACCAGGTACTATTCAATGAACAAGGGGGAGAGTAAGCCAAACTACGATGCTCTTCATTGCAGAGGTGGCTTTCCCCTGAAAAGGTGTGTTGTTCCTCTCTGTTTTATGAATGGTATCCACTATGCAAGATTGAAAAGTAAGAGAAACACAAGAATATCCTCAGGGACTTGCAGAAGGGAATAATGAAGTGGGAAAAATGGTGCCCTGGGTCCCTTAGGACTTTTGTAGGTAAACCACCAAGACTCTTAACACTCCCTGAAAGGACAACAAATCAAAACTCCCCACACCAAAATATGGGACATGGGAGAAAATTCTACATTTTAATCCTGGAAGGAAAATAGAAGCATTCATAAACTGTAGAAACCGTTAGTCAGGCTCCGAAATATCATGGCACAAAATAATCAAATTTTATGAGACTTGTTAGATCTAAATAAATAGAATGCCTCATTTTGGTCTCCCTATGGTTGTTAGCCTATACAAAAGACAGTGACCGGGTCAGACTCCTCAGCCAAAACTCCCACTGCAGCTATGGGAGTTTTGACTCACTAAAGGATGGATGGGGTCCATCTGCCCCAGTAAATATTGATGTCTAGGGGGAATCTGTGGCCATTTCTCCACGAAGCTTTGATTCCTTCCAGTTATCCTTCATATGAGTCTAGGTCAAAAATAAAAATGATTACATAGAATTTAAATCAACACAGGATTACAGTGATGGGAAAAAGAGCTTTGCTGTCTGAGAGGCTTTATTATTCTGCAATGAGGGATGCGGTTTGTTTTTATACCCAACATCACTCACTAAACACACTACTCTAGAATAGAATAGCCATATGTGGATATGCTTTCACTTTTTGTCTTTTCAGATAGGGACCCATTCATAACAAATTCGTTAGCCTACCAGAAGAAAAACTGTTTTTTTAATTACCAAACAGATTAACAACCAAAAGAAAAGAACTATTACTTCCTTTACTTCTACAAAGTAAATCAAAACTCCTGAGGAGTTATAATTATCTAGAATGCAGATGATCACAAAAAGAATCTATAATCACATTTCTTAAAATTAGAAAAAAAAGACTGAATGCTCAATACTATTTTACTACCGATAGATAGAAGAATTATGTTTATATCATGCACAGAAGTTAAAGAATATGAATAATCAGAATAGGTACTTTTTCAGATCAGAGAGTCTAACGAAAACAAGTTGAAGTTGAAGCTGCTTTAACACTGTCAGCTTTTTAACAGCAGCTTCAGGCAGCTTACCTTTATCCACTAATGAGAGGCCACAGAAATTTAAAATAAAACAATATTAGATAAACTGAAAAATTAGAAAGCAAAGCTAACAAAATATGGTAAGGCATTACTTCTTAAAAGATGTGCCAAACTTTGATGACGCACAAAAAAGTACACACATTCTCTTGCATAGCAGTAAAGGCAAGTTTTTTTAAAAAAAAAAAAAATTACTCATGCGAATCATGCACATTTGAACTCTCCAAAGATGCAGCATTCTTTTCTGTTATATTTGGTGTACACAGAGCAGTTCCTTTTAATCAAGTTAACATCTATTGATATTTTTACCCTTCCATTTTCCCAGCATGCTTGTCAAAAAACACATTCTTACCAAGCTCTTCAAGCTCTGAGGTCATTGACTTAGACCGCAAGGTCAGTGCAGTGGTTGGAGCTCGCTTAGGAGGTGGTGGGGCTTTGTATTAAACAGAAGGATATAAAATATAAGTAAACATACATCTCAAATGCTATTTATTTGCAGACACAATTACATATTTAGTCAAAAGAATATGTCGCACTAAATAAGGTAATATTAAAAACATACAAACAGAGGAAAAACCCTCAGATGCTTTTCATGTATTTCTGCACCATTCTACTTTTAGCATAGGCTGTTTGACACATCAGTAAGCTTTTATGTAACAGGATACAAAGAAACATTTAAAGCTAAATAATTCTGCACTTCCATTTTTCGCTATGAGAAAGATCTTCACAGTAGTTATGCCCCTCTTTCTAAGACATGTACATAGCTAAAAATCTCTTGGAGACCAGCTAAGTCTCTGCCAGATTAATTTCATCTTTGAAGAAACTTTGCCTGCTGTTAAATCCACGAAATATAAGGAAGAAGATTCCAAGTGATCTTAATAATCACAGTGAGACTTAGGAAAACAGATAATCCGCAGAATATAGAGCTCTTAGAGTTGATCTTAAAATATTGAGACAATCATCTAGCACTGAACCTAAAATCCAGTATGTCTCTTGGGTATCCTGATACACAGTGTTCCCTGCTAGCTTCGCAGATAGCCAAGCCAGGCAAAACCTTACTGGAGGTAACATTTCCATAGGCAGAAATGCGAGCAATACCAGAAAAGAATCTGCCTGTCATTGAGCCTTATAGGAAAAACAGGTTTCTGTGAAGCAGAAGTTGCTGGGACACCAAGAAAAAATTAAGGTTTCTGAAACATTTTAGTCAATAATATATATCAGATTACACCATCTGGAAAACACTTTGGCAAAGCAATCTCAGGAGGAGAAAGGAAAGAAATAGAGGCCATTTTCTCTTAGTAACTGTACCCGCTCAGTCAGCATCATTTTCTCTGTTGGGCTCCATCACCTGCTTACGAAGGTAGGAGTGCAGGGCAGGAGAAGGCAAAAAGGTAACTTGGGCTCAGCGCCAGGTACAGAGCCGCATGGGTCCCATATTTGTTAACTCTAGTTCGAGCTCTCTCCTTCACCAAGGAGAGAGGTACAAATATATTTTGCAAAGGGAGCCGTACAAACCAGTAAACAGGCTTTCCCTCACTGGACTGAAAATGGAGCGTTTGTTCCAAGATACAGTGGTTTGCCCACTGACGTGCATTGTTTTTCTGCTAGAATGTTACGTATTTTGGATATTTTTCTTACTTTTACAGCTGTCCTTTCTAATACATTTGTTTTGCAATTTTTTAAGTTCTCACTGAGTTCAAGAAGAGTCAAACTAACACCATCCTTCTTGGATGGGAATCTCATCCTTCTGCATATAATTTTCATCAATAAAAGATAATCTGTTTTTTTGCGATTTCTTTTTCCTACTGCAAGACACTCACGTCAAAAAGTTTGGGTATAAGAACTTCAAATATCTCTGCCTAAAGATCCATAAAGATGAAATGTGATAATAAACATGACAGGAGAATGCTACACTTCTCACATGTCACATGTCTAAGTCAACAGAGGTGAGTTACTCTAAGTAACAAAAGAGTATTGCCAATTCGAAAAGCAAAATGTGTAAATCACAAGTTATAAGCCCAAAACTTGTTATCTATACCCTGCTTTCTGTGGAGCACCACTGAAATGGAATAGAATTAGGAAAAGAGGAAAAAATACCTTTCTTTCTAGCTGTGTCGTCTGGATCAAGATTCCTGGTTACTGTGACAACTTTAAGAACTAGGTGATTGCCCCCTTGCCGGATCATGTTCACCACCTGCCTGTGTCCGACCTTCACCACATTCTCATTATTAACCTGTAAAGAAAGAAAAGATTCTTTCAGCTCAAAATCCAGAAAAATTCCAGTCTTTCAGTTTTAAAAGTAGAAGTCAGAAAGAACAGGAAGCTATAGAATTTCTGATTACTGCTTATTAATAAGAATGTATTTTTAAGAAACAGCAGAGAGCTGACACATTAACAGGAAAAGGAAAGCTAGCTCTTCATGATATACATATCTTATTTCTTTATAATTGTTAGTTAAAAAAATAAATGAGTTCAACTAAGTCTTTCCCTTTATTTACTTCCTACAGTTAGTACACTACTATTCTATAATTCATGAAGTAAAACTGCTTTCTTAAATTATGGTCATTATTCACCACCGCACTATTCACATATACTAAAATGCATCCTTTTCTTTAATATAACTGATGAGATATTTAGAAGTTTTATTTTATTTATTTAATTTTCCCCCTCTCCCCAGAATCATCCAGGAACTAGCACTTTCACTCCAGAGGCATTCTTTCATTCTGTGTGTTCCTTCCCTTGTTTCCCAGCATTTCCATTCTGCAGGTGTATAGACTGCAGTCCAGGAAAATCTTTATGGAAAATATGGGTTAACATGTGAAACCATGACCAGCTGTTATGATTATATCAATATTTAATTGTGTAGCGCTAAACTTTAAAATGTATACGCTCCCTGGTGATTTCCTGTGTTACATCATCATTTCTGCATATGCCTCTTTCCATAATATTAATACATAGGCATAAATTAAAGTGATATTTATAAAAAAGCTAACAACGTAGATAACTAATTTATTTATTCACTAAGTGAAAAGATAACAAAGTTATTTGAAATCTAATCAACAGCTGTATGAAAAACCAACCTGCCATATGCATTATTTGAATATAAAAGATACTAAGGAATTGGAATCAGTGAAGAAGAGATTGCCAGACTACATGTTGGGAATTTGATCTTTATCCAAAATTCAAGTTCTGATTCAGTTATCTTGCATGGAGATCACTCTGTGCCTTCCAAAATGAACAGTCATTTTCAAAGCAAGTGTTTTTACCCTCCTCTATTTATTCTGACAGGCACAGCATCTCACACTCGAAAGAATTTACAATTTAGAGCAAAATCTCTCATTAAATATTACTGCTATTTAGCAAAACAACAAGCACAAGGAGAGTCATTCCAATTTGAAATCGTGTTTTCCTCCACTGTATCGCAGGAAAATCTTGACTTTTTCAGGCTTTAGATGAGACAAGATGCATTATGGTGAAATTACCTCTCGGTAAGCCATATTTTTGATACGCCACTGCTGTAAAATGTTTCAAAGCACCATCCATGTGCTATGTCTGCAACGTCTGAGTTGCTTTTTAAGATGCTTTTTTAGTTTCACATCAAATTATGTAGGTGTAACACATTAACACATGCTGAACACTCAGACCTGTTGAACAGGCAAATATGAAGCTCTTCCATTCTGGAGGTGGAAGATATAAAGAATTGTTGGTTTGAATAGGACTCTTGCTGCTTTAGTTTGCATCTTCTTTGTGTCTTGTATTTAATTCCAAGACATGATATTTATTTAGCTGGGCCAATGTACGTTTAATGGGCCTAAACATTTTAGCGAGCAGAATTACTATTTTTAATTCCTAAATTTC